GAGAGAGAGAGAGAGAGAGAGAGAGAGAGAGTGTGGTTTTTTTGGTAAGTGTTTTACGGCGCTCGCAACGGGTAAAGGAGGTGAGTGGTGGGGCAGAAAGTGGAGACGAAATCAGACGACAGAACATTGTTAGAGAACAGAAAAGGAGACGAAAGGAGACAATTTTAGAGAAGAACATTTTCCGTCGCTATTCGGATTCAAGCCAGGGACCAATTGAATGAGGAGAGGTAAACACTGTAACTTCTCGACCAAGAGAACCCCCTAAAAACTGTATCGGGAAAGACAACGATATAAAAAGCGTATGTTCCAAACAACAGAACGAAAAACTCAGGTGTTTTACTCACCAGTCGTATGTCGCTTTTTCTCCCATGAAGAAGTGGCATCTATTTTTAGCACTCTCATGGATTATTGTCCATCTTTTATCCTCGTTACTCAGGTAAATATAAATATCGAACCCTCATTCTTAAAATACGTTTAACGAGTCTTGCGCATTCGTCACAGCAACGCACATGTGTAGGCATCATGGGTCAAGGGTGAAGTAAGTTCCAAATGGAGGGCATACGTTTACTTTTTAATTACCCCCCCCCACCCACATAGATCGAACTTTGCCCTCTGGTTCAAGAAAAAGAGCACCTAAAAACCAAACCCAGTGTAAAGTCACCCTGTTGATTGGCTTTTAAATGTGTATTTTGTCGGTCGTTAGATTAATAGAAACGAGTATAAATCTTTCAAGTTTAAAGCGTTATATGTTCTTTTATGCATGATATTTTCAAAAAGCAAAGAAGTTTTCATGTATCATCATCATCATCATCATCATCATCATCATCATCATCATCATCATCATCATCATCATCATCATCATCAGTCCTGGCATATACAAGCCGTAAACCTGACTAACGTTTGGTTCCCATAAAAGTAGGACACGAACAAAACCCCCCCCCAACATTTCCCTGTATTTCCACATCCTGTCCTAGCCGTTTTGGCAACGAAACCGCTAACTTTCCGCTTATCCGTAATTGATTTTCTGTCAACTGCTTTTGATTCAGCTGCATATTGGCGAACGCATAACCTGTCACCTACAGCAGAAGAGAAAACTTTGTACTATATCAATCCCTTAAAAAAATTCAACAGCTTACCTTTATATCCTGACTATCATTTTATTGTACACTCGTACATTGATTAATTGTTTAGTGTTTCTATTTTCTGCTTCTTGTTATTCTAAATTATGAGAACATGATGTTATGAGCCTTGTCTCCGCTTACTTACCGTTTGTTTTTGTTTTTTTTCCAAAGAGGAGAGATGGGGGTTGGGGGGGGGGAGGCGTAAGTTGAAGGAAGGGGTTGACTGTGTTCTGGCAACAGCAGAAATGCATGGAGCATGACGATCGCTCGATTTCTCGTGTGTTAAGTTGAACTTACTCTCTTTCTTGGGTGACAACAATCAAACAAATTACGTTTTAGCGGTTTTTGATAGACACGTGACTTAAACTTCATTTTAAAAAAATCAGGAATAGAAAAACATCCGTCACATGGTCTGGAAGAATAATCCAATTTTCTTTCGCTATTGATGCTGTAAACATTAACTGTGCACCAAAATGTTATTTTTATAACATGACCTACGTTTTAGATTACGAGTATTACTATATGAAAAGAAAAACGTAAATACTCAAAAGACTAGTTTCTTGTACAATCAAAACATGGTACTTTTTCTTTGATCGTCAGTTTAGATTCTAATATTGTAGCACATCATTTTTTATGTTTATCTTGGGTTTTAGACACGTAATGGCCCTGTATTCCCATGACCAATGGATCCACTTAATGCCGTCTATGTTCTTAATGTCATGAGTTTTAGAATTTATTACTTGTTTTTGAGTTGCATCTATTTTCATTTCTTTTCTTCGATAGTTTATTTAGCGTTTCATTGTGTTTCTATTTTGTGTGTTTCTGATTTTTGTTTTTTCATTTTTGTTTGTTTGTCTTCGGTGCCTTTCGTGGAGTTTTTCTTCAGAAAAAAAATCCCCATGAATAATTTTTTTTTTTTTGCTTCTGTTTCTTACTGAAAATAAAAGTTTAGAACGACTGCGCACTCTCTCATTTGTGGGGGAATCGTTCAGTGTTTCTTCTCATTTTTTTTATTTTCGGAGTGACAGAAACGAACGGAGAAAAGACGCTGGGTGTTGTTTGATCTGGCTGCTACGGTGGATTTTTCTTTTTTTTTTTTTTTTGGGGGGGGGGGGGGGGTCATTGGTTTAGACCAACGTGTGCGATATTTTGGTCGGAGGGAACAAAACAAAACCGGGGTCATGAAAAGTGTTATAATATGTCAGTCTTGGAAATTCATAGGCGGTAGCAAATGTGGGCACTGCTATAAGAAGGTTAACAAGCAAGATGTACTTTTTAAAACAATGATCTTCCAGGGGAACGTTGTTAGATTCAGTGTAGGGAAGTGTGAAAAGAAAGATAGAAAGAAAGATAGGA